CAAACGAACCAAGGGTGTTTTGTATTCATTAATATATATATATATATCACAATTCTAGACTAGTATACCAAAATAGTTAAGGAGGAAGAGAGAAAGGCAAGAATACCGGCATACAGAAGGACAACAAAAGACTACAGTAAAGGGAAGCAGAGCAGAAAGAAAACAGAGGAAGCATTGTTTGACTTGCAAATATTCTTCCGAGAGGAATCCTTAAAGTTTCTGTCCCCTTTTCCAATGAGGTAAGTGGCAATTGGAGAGATCTAACTGGAAACGTTTCCTTGCCTATTATTTTTTGTCTGTCAGACACACATAAGGAATTTACGCAGTTGGCTGGGAGTCTTAAACCTCTTGGCTGAGACAACGAGAATCTCAGTTGCATTGTAGACCAGATGATATGTACTCCTGACCATGGGTGTGAGCTATCATGTCAAAGGTGATTATTGTCAGTAACTGCATTACTATTTTGAGGAAAAAAAGCATGAGCTTTGGGACTTTTCTGAGACACATAAAGGGTCTTGCACAAATGTGTGAGAGCAGGGCCACTCTGCGTGCAAGAAAATCATGGTTTTCTAATTGTAACTTGCAATGAAGAGGGAGTCAGTCACTCAGATTTTTCCTTAAAGGGATAGTCCTTGATTGAAACAAGATTTAAGTATGTCATCTTTAATAAGCAAAGTACTGGGCAAATGGATTTTAAAAATATCATATATCATGCGACTGTATGTATGTTATTTTTGGCGAAGCTTGCTTATGATTTGAATCAAAATATTATGATAGATTTTTCTATGAGATGACAACCCAGATCATTTTGCATTATACTGTACGCAAAGAGATGGGAAACATGAGAATATTTACAATATATATTCTTAATCTTAGTCATTTCTTGATAACAGTCATGGTGATAGAGCATCCTTCCCCCCGAAACTCCGAAGTTCATCCAACAGAATTTATCAGCAGTAAGCCAAACTCTGTGCATTGTGGAGTGTTGCCTGAGCCCTTCCCAAACACAATCACGGTTGATCAGAGCACCAAGTCCACTGCTGGGTCAGGAGATGCGTGCACATAAATATGCAGCCCGCGTTCTTTGGTCCTGCTGGAACCACTGTCAATCATGCCTGCCACACAGCCTGCAGAGATGATTTGCATGCTCTTGTAGACAAGGAGCTGAACGGTACCTTTCTCCATGCAGCAAAGAAAACAGTAACTCTGGCTGCAGTTTTGCTGAGGCACAACTATTCTGATTTGGGCTGGAGGAACGACGCAGCAACAATGTCAGTCGCCGTGGAAATGCAACCACCTGTCAGCAAACGGCAGAAATTCTGTGTAATAACAGGCTAAATATCTCATCCAGCTGGAAGCGTGAGGAAAAAGGGCAGGTTTTGTCTGGGGTTGGGTTGGTGTGGTTTTATTTTAAAGGGCCGTTAACGGGTGGTGGTGTGCAAGCATTGCCCGGGAGGCCCCGTCCCATCCGTTCGAATGGAAGCGAGAGTTTTCAGCGAAGCACATTGTTCTGCTACAAATCTATTTGCCGATTCCCACTGAAGTGAATAGCCCTTCGCTCCAGCAGGAATTCGCGCCGTCACTTCAAATGTTATGCATATAAGTTAATTTCACACTGCTTCAGGACTTTGTTTTCAGATGACCAAAAGGGTTAAGAACGGAGAAGTAAATGCTTGCCAAGCGCCCCAGTCTAAATGAAGGGTGAGGGCTTTTTTTCCGGGGGGGGGGGGGGGGGGGGGGGGGGGGGGGGG